GCGTGGACCCCCGCGTCACAAGATCAACAACCGCCATCGTGACATCGAATTTCTCGCCAACGGTAGCCTTTTGGAGCGGCCGCTCTGCAACTCGGAATAAAGTCCACGTTTGTTCGAGTGTTCCCGTCAACCTGCAACTTGTAACAGGGGCTATGACACCTGCTGACCCTCTCCTCCACCACCCCCTGCCCCAGCAGCCTAACCCCCGGAAGTCACATTCTTCCCTTTTGGCTATTTTYGAGGTACCCTAACCCCCTGGAAGTCACATTCTCCCTTTTTGGCTATTTTCGAGGTGAGTGGACCACACCCTAACCCCCTGGAAGGAGGTCACATTCTCCTTTTTTGGCTATTTTCGAGGTGCGTGGACCCCCGCGTCACAAGATCAACAACCGCCATCGTGACATCGAATTTCTCCCCAACGGTACCCTTTTGGAGCGGCCGCTCTGCTACTCGGAATACAGTCCAGGCTTGTTCGAGTGTTCCCGTCAACCTGCAACTTGTAACAGGGGCTATGACACCTGCTGACCCTCTCCTCCACCACCCCCTGCCCCAGCAGCCTAACCCCCGGAAGTCACATTCTTCCCTTTTGGCTATTTTYGAGGTACCCTAACCCCCTGGAAGTCACATTCTCCCTTTTTGGCTATTTTCGAGGTGAGTGGACCACACCCTAACCCCCTGGAAGTCACATTTTCCTTTGTTGGCTATTTTCGAGGTGCGTGGACCCCCCCCCCCCCCCCCCCCCCCCCCCGCCCACCACGTAACAGGGCCTATGACACGTACTGACCCTGCGCATCAACCCGCCCCCTCCCCCCCTTTGGACTGTTTCTACGACGTGAGTGGCATCTGAGAAATGAGCACTTGGGTTTGTCTTCCTGCAATCCGAGCCCACTGAAAATGGAGTGAATCTTAAACTACGAATTCGCGAATTCTTTCGCACACGCTCTAATCGGGTCTGACTCACAAATTCCTGCGAGCAAAGGTAGAGGAGAGAATCTTAAACTACGAATCAATTCCCAAAGTTGAACGCTTTCGCACATTTAATTTAGTCGTTGGAAGAGGTGAGGAGGCGCTGTAAGTGGGATAGTAATGCCTGGCAGCAAAGGTGGAGGACCCTTTGTGCCCAGGTCGGAAATATTCCGTGTATAAGAAGGTGCGATAAAGGTTGCTTCAGAATGTAGAAGCCGTATCTTAAATTACGACTTAATTCGCAGAATGTCATGCTTTCGCACAGTGAGTCGTCAGAAAAGGTGAGGAGGCGATTTAAACCACCACTCCCTCCGACAGCAGGAAATAGCACCCCCCCTGTGAGTCCCGGCGGGTTCTTAGGTTGCGAGGCGCTCGCTTTAAACAACCACTCAATCCGACAGCAGGAAATAAGCCCCCCATGCGAGTTCTGGCGAGTTCTTAGGGAGGGCGTCGACCGGAGGGCGAAACGGCGGGCCTAGTGTCGCAATTTCACAGCTGCAACTTGGGTGATTTTCGCGCTCAGAAGAATTTACTAAAAAATATCAAAAATATTTAAAAACATCAATTTCACCTCCAAACCGCCGCCGCGCCGATTCGGCGCACGCACATTCGAGTTTTGTAATAGTGCCATTTGTGGGACCTCGTCGACAGATGCCTTGATGGTATGAGAAAGCTAGTCAGGGCGGCGACCGGAGCCTGAAACGGGGAGGAGGGGTTCTAAGCGAGTGATCAATTCCCTAGGCCAACGGTAGAGGAGGGAATATTAAACTACGAATTGATTCGCACATGCTTTCGCACAATGAGTCGTCGGAAAACATGAGGAGGCGATTTAAACCACCACTCCCTCCGACAGCTAGCTCCCCGTGTGAGTTCCGGCGGGGGGCTTATGTAGGGTGGCGACTGGAGGTCAAAACGGCGGGCCTAGTATCGCAATTTGACAGCGGCAACTTTGACGGTTTTTCATGCTAGGAAGAGATTACAGAAACTTCTGAAGATTTGAGTGTTCGAAGATCTGGTGGTGGTCCTTCCACGAAAAAAAAAAAAAATATTTAAAAAAATCATTATGACCTCCAAACAACCGCCGCGCCGATTTGGTGCACGTTCGAGTGTTGTCATAGTGCCATTTGCGGCCAACGGGGAAAGAAAAAATATATATATATTTTAAAAAATCATTATGACTTCCAAACAACTGCCGCGCCGATTTGGTGCACGTTCGAGTTTTGTCACAGTGCCATTTGCGGCCAACGGGGAAAGTTCTCCAACCTCAGCGAGTTTTCGCGATCCGAAGAATGGATCACAGACCCCAAAAATTTGAGTTTCGATTGATTTGCTTGTGATCTTTTTAGGGAAAATACTTTGAGAATTGAAGAAAATCATTTACACATATTTTCGCGATTGACAAATTTTGAATTGCATAAGCCAATTGGACTGTCGTCAAGACAAGACAGAAAGGACAATTTTTTTCGCGATTTATCAACAGGGGTCAAGCACACATACATTCTGACACACATACATTCTGGCGATAAGAATGATCACTTTCGCGAATTTGCAAGTATGAACCAATTTCAGTATAGACTAGCACATGTATTCTCGGGATAACAAACTTGGTTAATGAAGTGCGAATATGTTCGCATTTTGAGTCATTCGAGAAAAACAGTCACCCTTGTGTAGACTATCACATGTATTTTGGCGATAACAATTATGGTGATCATTAACCGTACCACTGAAGTGTCCGGAGTCCATAAAATAACGTCACCCATTATTGGAGGTCTTGTCTCATTTCGATAACACAATTGATAGCAAGGGTCATTCCATGACAGACACACAAACATCATGGCGACAACACAACGTCACCCGTTGTTGGTCTAGCATCATTTCGATAACACAATTGATAGCGAAAGTGAAACCATGACAAGCACATTTGTATTCTGGAGATAACAAAATGGGTGATCATTTCGACGAATCACTTCGCAGTTGTCATATGGAAGCAACAGTCAGCATTCAGTGGAGACAAAAGAGTTCACGGCACACGAAGAGGGGACAGGCAGAAGGAGGCTGGTTGGGGGGGGGGGTCTTATACACATCTAGATGTGTATAAGAGATAGGTGTGTCTGAGCGAGCGGAAGAGAGGCGAGCCAAAATACGTGGAAATTGGGGGGGATATGGAGGTTCGGGGCTTTCAGACCATAAAATCGCGCGTAAGTAACAGACAAGCACGAAACAATTTGACGACCAGGAAGAAATCATTGATATCTTTCACCAACGTCTTGCTAAATGAACATGAGTATCGACGAGAAAGAGTGTAAAGAATGTCCACAAGAGCACGAGGCTGCGATATTCACATCATCATCTAAGCATCTACTTAAAAGATACTGCAGCACGAAGCTGGGATATTCACAACGACATCTAAGCGTCTACTTGACATAAGTGTCCACTGCAACCCTCTAGCTGATGTTGGGCGGCAAGGAGAGAGGATAACTTGAAAACAAACAAAGGTAGCACGGAGCTGCCAGCGTCCTAAAAAACACGCTGCACGAGGATACGACATTTATACCAAAAAAACAACAAACAAGAAAGCCAAAGAAAGTCGTACGAGTAAAGCTGTCAGGTTCCTTGAAATAAGGAACTCTTATAAAGCACTGCGGCATGAGGGTGGGATATTGACATCGACATCTAAGCGTGTACTTGATAAAATCGTCCACTGCAATCCTCCACCTGATCAAAACAAAACCACAGCTCCAGGTGGCCGACTGCTAGACTAAGTGGGAATGGATTTGCACTTCTGTTAATCACCCTGCGAAAAATGTGTATTTTTTGAATAGGGGCATTATTCTGAGCCATGGAGTATGTCCACCGCAATCCGCCGCCTAATTTGTGGAATGTCGCTTTGGGCTGTCGGAAACGGTGGCGGATGACCGCGTGCCAGAAAAGAAGCGAAGGCGAGCATGAAAACACCGCAGCTCGACCCGTCCGACTGCTGAGGGACACCATCAAGAACCACCTTGGGATCCTCGAGATCTAGTGTTGACCATTTTTACGAACTGCTTCGTCACAGAGGTATTTCGTGAAGTTGCTAAACACATGGGAAGAAAACCCGCCATCCTCTTGTAGGAGGGAGTCGTAGTACTCCAGCCCTCCTTGGCGCGCGCATAATAGGGTCCAGTGCACTCCATCTTTATGAACAGGAATGATTAGCATTTCCTGCGAAAAAATATTCACATCTTTGGTCCATCTCGCAACCCTATCATGTCGACATCCCTCTGTGACGAGCTTGGTATAGAAAAATGGACTGAAAATATAGACAGAGGAACACCCCAACAACTTAACGTTGCCAACCAAGGCCAAGTAGCACTCCACCTACTCGTCGGAAAGCCATCCCCCCTTGACAAGAGTCTGAAGACTATTTCGGGTCAACCGAATACAACTGCTCCCTTTGCGAATCGACGAAACCACCTCGTGGCCGTTGCTGAAATCTCTGCAGATGTCCTCCAACATTCTCAAGTCTGCAGCGCTAAACTCCTCAGTCGGCCACGGTACACGAAACGATGATGTAGCCGCAGCTGCACAAACACCCACGTACAAGTGTGAGGAGCTGCCAAAACCAGCCTAAACTCCTAGGGAAACTGGTTAAGAACTGTGTGCCCCTTTTCTAAAAAAGTTATTACCCCGACGGCTGAATGCGTCCTTGGCGATGTACTTAAGGTAAGGGTCTTTGTCGACACCCCGTTTGGCATCGTCATCAGACCCATCACACAAAGCAGTAACGCTTTCAATAGACGCAGCCACATGTTTCTGCAAAGCTTCCTCCTTATCTATCCCACAAGCCTGCATAAGCCTCGCAGCTCTCTCCGAAAGGCGAGGCATCAGACCTTTTAAACAACCCTACACTTGACGGGGACTTCCTCGGTAAAGCGGCCAATGACCTCCCTGAATAAGATTTCCCCTGCACGGCTTTTGAAGGCTTCATGGGCAGGGACTTTGACAACCTCACACTTTTAAAACATAGAAAACAACCCACAACCCACAAGGTGTTTTTTAAAAAGTTGTAATAGGTAAACGAGCCCATCATATCAATCTGGATGACCACGGAGCTGAACAGTGACAGATGAGCGAGTGCTACTATTCACAAATCTCACCGTGCTCAGGAGTCCTTCGAGGGAGATCGGCCTCCCGTCGCGCCACTGCGCCAGCGTCCATAGAGCATTCGATATTCTGCACCTCGACCAAGGCTGCGTCGCTGACCACCTCCATCGCACCTTAGTCGCTAACCATCTTGATGTCTTCCCGAAGTACGATTTTCCGACCGGCACTGAGGACAGACGCTGGATCACCTTGTTCTTCACCTGCTGAGTCGCTAACCACGTCGATGTCTTCCATAATTTCGATTTTTCGACGGAACTGAGGACAGACGGTCGATCACCTTGTTCACCACCGGAGCAGGACACCAGAGAATCATGATCGTCGCCTTCCTCATCCCCTAATAGCCGAACATCCACGAAGCGTTCTTCGCTTGCCGCATCGCCAGAAACCCGAGCTTCCACCAAGGGTTCATCGACGTCCTCATCGCCAGAAAGCCGAGCTTCCACTAACGTCGATGAACATCGTTCCTCCCCACGTATTTCGCCTTCCACAAACGTCCATTGACCTCCTTCCACGTCACCCTCTTGCGTCGTCAGAGGCGACCCACTATGCATAATCTCTTCGGTGTCCACGATGTCCATGGTTGTTTCCGATGAGCCGTGGCGTAGCTCCTCTTCGGTTTCCCCGATGCTGATCGTATTTCTCGATGAGCCTTGGCGTAGTTCCTCTTCCCGCTGCACACCATTCAATTCCTGTGAGAGCTGCTCATTCTCCGGAGCTAATGTACTCATGTTCTCAAAGTCGACAAACACACACTCGGAAGCATGACATTGATGCTCGCTAGCCCCGCTCTCCAACTGAAGATGCAGGGGGTTCGACCTCACATTTTCTTCGTCCCCTTGTACTGTAGCGCGAGCAGCATCGCTGGCGGACGGCCTAGAGGGCGACGCCAGTAACTCCGAATCTATTCGGACTTGGCGGCGCTCGCCAGAGCTGAGGGAACTGACGCTCGCACCTTTGCTCCTCCGCAATAGAGGCATCCCGGCAAGGTCCAGCACTTTGCGAGGCAGCGAGTGTTGAGTCTGCTCTTCCCGGTGCACAACATGCGTTTCCTGTGAGAACTCCTCTTCCCCCGGAGCTGCTGTACTCGCGATTTGCAAGTTGACGGACTCACCGTTCGAATCATGACATTGATGCTCCCTAGCCCCAGTCCCCAACACTCCTGTAGTGGGCCCCTCCATCACTTTGCGAGACGACCAGTCTTGAATCTCAACATTGGAGAACTGTAGTGAACACGGGGATACTGTACCCAACCCAAGAAGCGGGGGGTTCGACCCCACATTTTCTTCGGCCGGCAGAACTGTAGCGCGTGCAGCATCGCAGGCGGACTACCTGGAGGCCGACGTCAGTATCTCCGAATGTATTCGGACTTCGCGGCGCTCGCATGAGCTGGGGGAACTGCGGCTCACATCTTCACTCCTTTGCAATGCGGGCAACCCGGAGGTGCGAGGGGGCCAGTGTTGAGTCTCCTCTTCCCGGTGCACAACATGCGTTTCCAGTGAGAGTTCCTCTTCCCCCGGAGCTGTTGCAGTGTCGCTGTGCAAGTCGATGTACGCAACCCCCGAAGCATGACGTTGATGCTCGCTAGGCCCGATCTCTAACACTCCTGTAGCGGGCCCCTCCTGCACTTTGTGAGACGGCCACTTTTGAGTCTCAACGTTTGAGAACGGCAGTGAGCAGGGGACCACTGTGCTCAACCGAAGATGCGAGAGTTTGGACCTCACATTTTGTTCGCTCTCAAGAACCGTAGCTTGAGCAGCACTACTGCTGGACCGCCCGCAGGGCGGCGACATTAACTCCGAATCTATTCGCACTTTGCTACTTCGCAGTGCGGGTATCCCAGTGTTAAGGCCAGATGAAGACGCAGTTCCCGACACGGAATTGTTTTGCCGCTGAGGAGATGCTGTTGTACGCTGCGAATGGGTACTGAGATATGGACTCTCCTCGAGATCGTGAAACAATGTCCTCGCGGAAGTCCTCAGAATCAAGTGCGAATCTACTCGCACTTGATAATGCCTAAGGGTGGACGCGCCTTGCAAATCGGAATGTCGACTCCCATCGCAGTGGCTTTCAGATCCCCTGGACTCGCTCCCGAAGAGCCTACGCTTTCCGCCCGACCCCTTGCCGCCCAACCCTTTTCCGCCCGACCCTTTTCCGCCCGAACCCTTGCCGCCCGACCCTGTTTCAGCAGACCCTTTGATCCTGACAACGTTTCGCCTGACCCCTTTCCGGCATAGCTCTTCTTCCCAGAACCCTCTCCGCCCGACCCCTTCCCCTCTGCGTCGTCAGAACCGTCTCCTGAGCTGTCTCCTCCGCTACCTCCTCCACCGCCTCCCGGATGCTGGCCACCGGCCGGAGGCTGCGACATGCGCCAGTCAATGCCACGAGACGGTGCCGTATCAAGTAAGTAGAAGGGAGCTCGGAACTCCAACATTTTGTTGTCGTACAGCTCGTCGAGCTTCTGCCCTGCATACGCATTGACGTCCTCTACGCTTCTTCCGGGGTTGACAACACTCAAATGCTCCACTAGAGTTTCCTTGGCCTTCCTCCTAAATAGGCCCGCTCCCAGTCTGTTCAGGCCACTCCACTTGCCGTCGGCTTTCTTGATTGCCATAACCCACTTTCCATTCTTTACAGCAGGTTGGAATATCCTGGGTGCCAGACGACATTGTGGCCCCAGACATCCTCTGATGTGAACCGGTGGTGCTTGCCGTAGAAGAACAGCCTTTCATTCTCCCAGGTATCATGGTCCTTAGGGATTTTGTCAACCGGTGCGTATTCGTAGTCTTCGTCTTCTTTCCGTCCTCCTCAAATACACGCTTCAAGCCGCCAGGGGACGTGCTATATCGCCGAGAACCACCTTGATGCTCCCTTTCATCATCGCCATGTGTCGCCAACCGAGGAAGTTCCATGGACTCAAAATCGAAGGTTTCGGAGTCGCTCACCTCCTCCATATCTTCAGCGTCGAAAGCGTCGTCCTCGTCAAACTGCGCCTTGTAGTTCTCGAGGGTCAGTTCTTCTTCCAACATGAAGTAAACGTGCTCCAGCCTTCTCAGGAAACTTGAGACAGACTCCCTGGGGGCACCGTGGTAACCCTTCAGCACACCGAACACCAGGTTTCTTCGTCGATTATATTCCATGTCGGTTTGAGCAGGCGGTCCTGATTGGAAAAGGAACTCCCAAACCTCCATCCTTTTCTTCTCCGGCAATTTCCAGTACAGATCACGTGTGGGCTCCCAGTTCCGTTCGCCGGTGGTCTCGACGAAAGAGCAATGGTTGCGAGGGTCCCCAACTCGAGTCTTCACGAACTCGAGAAGGATCATCCTCGCCTCGTCCTCTAACACAACCACGTTCCGGCCGCTACGCAGGAGCTCCCACACGACAGATGCATGCGCCTTCCCAAAGAAAAAGACCGTTTGCCCAACTCTACAAAAGTTTTCGAGCAGACTAAATAGATGAGCCGGTTTTCGTTCCCTGTCCCCGTAAGCAGCACCCCGAACACTTGTCACACCGCCGTCCTCCCACTGGCTGCGAGTAAACTTGTCCTCGTCTGCCACGTCGAAACAGGCCACAGCCTGTCCAGAAGGGTCGGAATAACTGCCAACTTTTGAGCGGGCCGCCGCCGCGGCTTTGGCCGGACTTTGAGCCTTTGCACGGGGGGGCTTCGATGGGCTACCGGCCGGGAACACTGCGACCGTGTTGTCTGCCAAGTTCTCGCCATTGAAAACCACGTACAGGCGATCATAATCCTCGACCAACATGTTGCCTTCCCGCATTGTAGCCTTCTTCTGTGCATGGCGCACCCACTTCCCTGTCCTCACGTGGTGAACGGTAAGCTTCGCCATTCCTTTCAAGAAACTGAGCTCCCAACGCGACGGGAAGAAGACCACAAGCGACCAGTGCCTAGGAGAGAGGGTATGGAGAAGGTTTTGCAAGAAGGCGAAATCGTCTTCTGCCCAATCTTTTAGGAGTGTCGGATCACACAAATCGAGAACGTACACGTTGCACACGTAATGTCGCACGATCTCGCGGATCTCAGTGAGACGAATGTGAGCTTGGTGAGGCGGATATCCGAAAGGAATAAGGCTGGTCACACGGTTGACCTTCTACCATTTGATGTGCGTCACAGCCCCGCTGACCCTGATAGTGTCTTCGACTTCTTCCTCTGTTTGTCGCAAAATGGAGCGGACAGACTTCTCGAAGGATTTAGGAAACCTCTCATCGTCGTACAATTTCTTCGTATCTTCGAGGGACTCCTTCTCGCACGGAAGACAACGTTTACAAATGCTCACGTAGTCCATCGCGCCGTGGAAATGTTTCCTCAGTTCCGACCACACCTGCTTTGTGAGGCCGTGCGGCCCGAACTTCGCCAGAAGCGCCTCTTCGGTTCGAAAGAAGTCGCTTCCATTGCACCAAACCTCTGCCTCCTGCTCTTGTTCAAGGAACAAGATGTAGTGGAACATGCGAAGCATCATTCGATCCACTTTCCTCATCGCGACCATCTCTTTAATTCCCGGCTTATGTTGTCGTTTCAGTGTCTTGCCTGCCGATTGCACAAACACTCCCTTAAGCACGAGAATGTCCTCGAGGGTCGACAATTGTTCGTTGTCGGTCATGTCAGCGAGAGATTGCCAACAGAACATGTCCGGCTCCTTCACGACGACGAAGAACTTGTCAGACATTTGCGTTTTCTTTGTGTTATGAGGCGGAGGGACCCGGATTAGCCACCCCAACTTTGTCTCACCAGCTGCCCCTCTCGAGCCCACTTCTGGAATGGCTTGAAGGCCCGACGATTTTTCTGGCATGTATTTGCCAGGCTTCGACAACGGCGTCTTTCCGTCTCCGCCCAACAATTTTCCCTTGGCCCACTTGTCGTAAAACTCCATCCCTTTTTGGAAAACCGTATCATCGGCCGTCACAAGCGGCATCCATTGCCTCAATGCATGGCAAATAGCCGCAACTTTTTCCTTATCGGCGAGCGTTGTCGCCTTTTGTGCCATTGTCCAATGAGCGCCGTTGGGACTCTTTGCCAAAAGCATTTTCTGAAACTTGAAAAACGCTTGTTTTTTGGCCTCCTTACCGGATGGGTTTCCTTGAATAGCCACCGGCCTTCCCGCTTTCTCCCACGCGTCCCGCATGTCCAAGAACGCCGACTTTTGCGAACGCTGCAATGACTGCTTGTGTCTTGTATTCTCGGATAGACTGACCTGCACATACCCCCCGAAGTCTTCAACGGAGAACCACACGACTCTCGCCGGCCATGAGTGCATCTTCCACAGTTCGAATATTTCCTCACCCTCTAGTTCCTTCACAGCAGCCATGGTGTGTTGCCCATTTATGGGGTAATAGAAGAACTTGTCCTTGTCCTCTAGCTTGAAGTCATCCTTGTGAACCCTCTGAGCTCTTTCCGTCCTCTCCGTCACCGACCTGTAGATGGGAGCCACAACCAAAGCGTTTTTCGTCCATATCTTTCCCTTCTCCTCGCGGAACTGCGTTAGCATTGCGTTCTTAATGTTGTCCACACTTTCCGTTTTGAGACTGCAGTGATTATAATAGTCTTCCCACAACGGAATATCGCAGACCTTCCTCGGGTCGATCACCAGTTGAATTGGGTCCTCCTTCTCCACAATTTTACCGTCATCGTTTCGCTCATATTCGAGCCAAAACGCCGCCGCTTCGTCGTAAACCTTACCAACAGACCCTTCACCACCACTCGTCCCCTCACCACCCTTCCTCTTTCGAGCTTTCTTCGGGCGATCACCTTCTTCAGCTGCGTGTTTCCTTTTAGATTTCTCAGACGGTTCCCCCGCGGCGGCAATGCCTTCACCCACATCTTCCAGGGCTTGCCCTTCGACGATGGTCAAACCGCCGTCCCTCTTCGTTTTCTTACTTGCTGTTGCAGGTTCTTTCTTCGACTGCCTCTTTTTGGCTCCTTCTTCTTGTCCGCCACGCATCCTTGCCGGCCTTTTTCCCAAGACACGTTCATCCTCGCCAGTCATTAGCTCCTCCTCTCCTCTCATCCTCTTCATGTGTCTGGTTTGTTCCTCCACCTCCTCTCGTACCGCCTTCTGTCGCTCGCGCTTCTTCTCTGAAGAAGTCGGCTCCCCTCCAGAGGATTCTCTTCTTCTCGTCTCATCTCGAAGCGAGAACTTGTCACCCTGGCAGCGCAACGTGAGGACTTTCGGTGTCACGACCCGATGAGTCCCTGCATCTGGAGAAGCCAAGGAAGGCACAGTACCATCAGACGTGGACCTAGAAGAAATCGGGCCTAACTTCAGATGACTTCTGCCCGCCTGTCCCACGTCATGACCCTCAGTGCCGTGAATGATACTCCCTTGGGCCGCTTTCGTTAGAGGGGTTTCTTGAGCCAAGCCGGACGACCCCTCAGGGGCTGGTAGAAGCCGGAAAACATATTCCCGCGGAAGAACGGGACGCTCTTTGTCAACCTTCAGCGCGAGATCGAGATACTCGACTGGATGTGGAAGAGGCCTGCTTTTGCTATCGTAAAGCCCTTGGAAGTGACGGCAGCGAAGCATGTTCGAGCCGTATCCGGCGAAATTCTTGATTGAAACCATCGCACCCTTGACACCTTTGAGAGGTAGTCTGCAAATGTCGTAGAATACGTTCGTTTGCAGCTTCAGCAAGCCTCCAGCCTGTTTCTGGAACGAAAGGATGGTACCCACAGGAAGAACGTGTTCTGCTCCCTTAGCGTCTGGAAAGGCAGCTGACCGCAAGAAAAGAGCTGGCCCAACAAGGCTCCCCTCTACAACGAAGTCCAAAAACCACTTATCCTTGAAATGAACATATTTAGGACCATCGGGGGCAGACCCACCAGCGCTTGTCGATGTTTTCTTCGGGGACGTCATTTTACCAAGTGCGAACTAACTCGGACTTGTGGAAACGAAGGACCAAAACGACATACCAGATGAGTGTTTGAAATGCACGCGAACTCACAACAGAGTGAGTTGGGAGGAAAGATAACAATCCCTTTGGCATAAATGCGAACCTAACTCGGAGTAGTGGAAATGAAAACCTCTACAACACGTACCACATGGTTGACGACAAGTGCGAATTAATTCGGAGTTCTCGGGGAGAAGACAACAATTCCAATTCGCAATTCTAGAAATGACAAAATCACTTTGAAGAACCTAATTCGGAGTTGTGGAAATGTAGAAATCACGTTGAACTTCAAGAAAGAGTCGCCTTATCGGAAATGTGGAAATGTAAAAATCTACCACACGTGTTGCATGAGTATCGACAAGTGCGAACTAACTCGCAGTTCGGGACAAAAGATAACGCTTCCAACTCGCAGTCCTGGAAAGGAAGAAAGAGGCGGCTTATCTTGGGGCAAGTGCGAACTAACTCGGAGTTGTGGAAATCAAGACCTAGTGGAAATGAAGACGTGGTGGACAATACGGGTGTCGACAAGTGCGAACTAGCTCCGAGTTCTGGATACGGATGGCAACAACTCCTCCAGCATTGTAGCTCATAAAGTGCGAACTAACTCGCAGTTCTAGAAAGTGCGAACCTGCGTTGCACGGCGAACGTGTTCGGGGGCCTTCTCGTTCGGGCGAACACGTTCTCCCGTTCGCTCGAACGGGTCGAGAACACGTTCACGAGAACGCGTTCTCAAGACCCGCGAACGGGTTCTGCCCGGGCCGGTACCGATCGCCGGCGGGGGTTCGGAGGGCCTGAGGGCCGATGGTTGTTCGTGTGGGGGGGGCGCGGGCGCGAGAACCGGGTCCAGGCAGACGAGTAGGGGGGGAAGGGTCAGTTTCGAATTCGATCCATTCGAAACTGGCCGCCCCGCGCTCCAGCTGCTGCTATGTACGGCGCCCATCTCTGTCAGGTGAGTCCCCGTGGCCCCTCGTCGTCGTCGTCCTTCTCCTCCTCGTCCTCCTCCTCGTCCTCCTCCACCTCCTCCTCCTCATCAACTCCGACCGTCGTCCCGCGGCTGCCACGTCAGCACGGTCGACATTCTTCTCCTTCTTCTTCGTCTTCTT